AAATGTAAGGACTGGTTATGATATTATTTAATATCCTTAATAAGGATTTGTTTGGTATAACAAAAGCTTTTAATAGAAGTCATTTTAGAAAGAATCTATTATAAAAGTTTCATATTTAAGAAGTTAAATGTGTTTGATAAAATTTTTTACTGAAAAACAATTAGAGTGTAAAGATGTTTAATAAATTTTTTTATAAAAAATCTTATAATCTTGAAATGACCAAAAAAGACATTTTGTTTAAAAAGTATCGTTTCTCTTTTTTTTTTTTTTTGACATTTTTATATAAAGCTTTAATTTCTTTTTAATTTAATTATCTTAAAGTTGATGATTACAAATGAAATTTTTATATTTATAAAATATAAATGTTAGTAATTAATAATTTAAATATTAATAGATAAATAAATATTTATATTTTATTTTTAAAAAAAGAAACATGTTGCATTTAAGTTTTATAAAGAAAAGAATAAAACTAACAACCTGTTAGTCCGAATGGAAAGAGTTCGATTCCCTTAAACAAGGTTTCGAATTTGAGTATTGTATATGAAGACACAAGCACTGGAAGAGTTTCCCCCTAGTGGGGTCCGACCCGATTTGATTATGGATTAGTCGAGACTCAACGTAATTATTGGATAGTGGGAGGTTAGTACCAAAAATAAAAATAATAAGCGAAAGTGAATAAAAATAAAAATTGACAATAACAATCATCTTGATTGACTTTCCATTAAAGATAAAACTGTAGAATCTCAAAGTGAAGTCATACTATGATCCTCCATTGTATGATTAAAATTATTTTGAGAAATTCTTTCACTTCTATTCTCTTCCCCAAGCATTTAATGCATATAACAAAGAAATGGTTAAATGCTAAATTTGGTCTCTCAACTTTAGTGAGTTGCACATTTTTGGTCTCTCAATAATTTTTTGCACTTTTTTGATCCCTCAACTATACGAAATGTACTCCGTTAGTCCTTTTGTTAATTTCGATCGTTAACTCGCTTATGTGGCATTTTTTATAATTTTTTTGATGACGTGGCAAAAACAAATTGAAAACGTGTTAATGTGAAATTTTTTTTCATGCCAACTCACATGATTACTATTTATATTTTTAAAAAATAAAATAAAAAAATTCCGTTCATCTTCTTCCTTTCTCTTTTTCTTTTTTTTTCTTCCTCTTCTTTCTTCCTCTTCTTCCTCGGGTCATTGAACCCAATTTGCTGGGTTCAACGAAACCCCGCCTGGGTTCCACCGAACCCAGTAGATCTGGGTTCGACGGAACCCAAAACCCAGCTCCACCTTCTTTTTTTTTTTTGTTTATATGATTGTTTGCCAAGAGATTATCCAAATTGCAGGTTGTTGTGAGGGATTTTTGGGCAACTGGTTTTTCTTTTTTTTTGTTATATGATTGTTTGCCAAGAAATTATCCAAATTGCAGGTTGTTGCGAGGGATTTTTAGGCAATTGATTTTTTTTTTTTTTGTTATATGATTGTTTACCAACAGATTATCCAAATTACAAGTTGTTGTGAGGGATTTTTAAACAATTGAGTTCAGTGAATCGAGCTGGGTTCGATGGAACATATTTGCTGGGTTATATGGAACCTATTTGCTGGGTTATATGGAACCTATTTGCTGGGTTACATCAAACCCAAATCTACTGGGTTCTGTCGAACTTCAATCTTGAAAATGGAAAGAACACTATTTATGGAAAGAATAGAAACAATAACCGATGGGTAAAGAAGCAATTCTTAGTAGTGATGTGGGACCCATTTGGATGGATTTGGTGCGTTTTCGCCAGGATAGCATGTGACATGGCAAAAGTTTTATGCATATCATCACTTTTTTAAGTTTTGCTCTCCACATCATCAAAAACAATATAAAAAATGCCACCTAAGCAGGGTTAACGGCTTAAATTAACAGAAGGACTAACATAGTGCATTTCGTATAGTTGAGGGATCAAAAAAGTGCAAAAATTGTTGAGGGACCAAAAATGTGCATTTCATAAAGTTGAGGGACCAAATTAAGCATTTAACCTAAAGAAATCTTTACTAAAGAAAAAAATATGAGGTACTACAAAGGGTTAATTCCAATATTGGTCCTTGCTCAGCCAACATGGCATTTTGAAAATTTTATTTTAGGATATAAGTCATGACTTAACTCTATCTCAACTTTGGAATCCTTTATTAAAGAAAAAAGAACTTCTCTCATCAAAAACTATTTTTCATATCTAAAAAAGTTCTTTTACCACTTCTTGGATCCTCACAATTCCAATTCGAAATAAAACATAATCTCCTCCACACATCAACACCATTTTCATATTCCATCATGAACTCAATCAAGTTGCAGAAATATTCTTGACAATCTTGGGATGCCAGATTAAATAGAATTTCATCACAAACTCCTTTAAAAGCAACATGCCTCTTACATTGTGTGGTAAGAATTCACTCCAACCAAGCTACATTCTCTCCTTTTTTCTTAAATTAAGATAAATATAAAAAGGTAAGATATAACAAAAAAAATAGCTAATTACACATTAAATTAGAATTCTTCACTCCAAAATGACTCTAGAAAGGCCATTATAGAAAGAAAAGATACAACAAAGAATAGTATAGCACACACTACATTAGAATTCTTTACTCCAAAATGGCTCTCATCACAAACTACTTTACACATTTGGAAAGGCTCTTCTACCACTTATCACTATTATTTACATTTTCCAACTGCAAACCATCAACATCTTCCTATGGGCCAAAATCCTTGATATCAATATTTTCAATTTCTTTTCGTTTTCCCTCACTTTCCCAATAACCAAATAGTATAAAAATAGCGCAACAATACACGATTCCACCAGAACAAGAATTCAATAAAATACATGAAATAAAATGACATCAAAAGTACAATTCAACAGCTTTTAAAATCAAACCACCAACCTGAAAAAAAATAGAAAAAACAATAATAAGTCACTAGATCTAAGAACTTACCAGTTAAAGATTGATGTATAGCATTGAATTTGGGACTGAAGTCAGAAAACTAAGCCTCAATAGATCAACATGATTGGGATAAAGGAAATCGTTCCAATTGGGTGAGAATGAAGAAGAAAACAAATTGAAAGAAGGAGATTCTTACCAATTGGGTTGTAAGCACACCATTAGATCTGGGATTGATGTTGGACAACTAGGTTTTGATAGAGTAGCAAGATCGAGATAAGCAAAGCAGAAGTACCTTTTGGGTGAGGATGAAGAAGAAAAGAGACCAAAAGAAGGAGATGGAAGTGATGGCCACAAAACTAGAACAAAGGAGATCGACAGATGGAGAAGATGAGAATAAGGAAAAAAAAAGGAATTTGTATTATAAAGGAGGAGGTATATATAGTGGTTTAATTGTAAATTTATTAAAATAAGAGGGTAAAATAGGAAAAAAACAAGTAAAATTCATTAAACACTAGCATAAACACCCACAAAAGTACAAGATTCTTACTTTTCTGATTTTCAAAGACTAAAAGGCAAGACCAACTACTCAATAGTTTAAGCAAATGCTAGAAGTTTTGGTGTTTGGTGTAGTTGGAGCTTTTAAAGTCTAAAAGTATTTCTCACCAATTGTACCAAACATGCACTAAATCCAAGTTTTGTTTAAAGGTACAAATTAAGAAGACATTTGTTACATCTTTTAAATATTAATTTACATAGAATTTTTTTTTTAAAAAATTAATATTAATTTTAACACTAATATTATATGAATGATTTTAATTGGACAACTCATAAATTAATGTCAATTTTTATTTTTTTAAGTATAAAAGTACAATAAATACAAATATAGCATATGTTAGAAAAACTCATAAACGTAATTTGAGTGTTAATTCATTAACATTGTGTTTGAGAACACAAATTTAACTTTTAAGTGTATTTTAAATGTATATATATATTTAGATACATGTAATTTGAAATGTATTTATTTATAAATTACTATTTGGATATGTTAAAGAAGTGTGTTTTTCAATATGGGCTACACTTTTTTTATCTAATCCAACTATTAAAATTACAAAAATATTATTAATGAATAAGCTTAGAGGGCAAGTTCATTAAAGGTATTTAAATAATTTT